AAATAAAACATGTTACCATCTGTTATATTCAGTATAGAAATAAAACATGTTACCATCTGTTATATTCAGTATAGAAATAAAACATGTTACCATCTGTTATATTCAGTATAGAAATAAAACATCGCACTGTAATCAAAAACGATTTTTTTTTTTTGTAATTCGGGTAGTCACGTGGAAAATATAATTTCTCTAAACACTATTTTAAGTGAGAGTTACGAAGAACTCTATGATTTCGTCCCAATAATGTCACTTATAATAATATTAATAATATCAATTTTACATTTTTAGTTGATTTATCGAAAAAGAACTAATTATTGTCTACGAGTACAGCCTGGAGCAACGTAAACTAATTTATAGATATCGTGATACATTAGAATGAAGTTTAAATGTATCTAGCCTGTCGAGGAGGTACACACTGTACATGTTGATCACATTTTGTGGATTCTACATGTCAATTGCTAAAAGTGATCTTCCTCCAACATTAATCTTCATGCTGAATCATGTATCTGACTTCTTATAAACTCGTTACGAATATAAGCTTCTAAAAGAATAAATAACTTTCAAAGGTCAAGACTTAAGTTTCTTTGAAAATTTTGCTAAACGATAATACGATTACTTGTTTCCTTATCTCATCCACACTTAAAAACATGTTTAGCTATCTTTTTAAGCAACCCTCCTGTATCTCCTCCCGTCTACCCAATTTACGCATAGTACGAGTGACTCTTCAGTATTTTTCGTATTCTGAAACTACCTTAAACAAAAGGATAGCTTTGCTACAAAAACTGCTTGTAGTGCACTCGCGTAAAAGTACAATTTATCAGGTTGCATACACACATTTGTAAATCATACAACGATTTCTTTATGAAGTCTCATAACAGAAGTGTAGCTACAACTTTAAGATATACTTAACAAGTGACAAAGAATACGCATACTTGGCGGCAGATTTTCAGTTGAATCTTGTGGACAGCAAATGCCGACAGCATTGTTGAACTGATAACATACTGATTCTTGTATATTTTCTATGCTGTCGAAAGCAAACAAACAGCCACTAGGAACTTTACAGATTCCAGGATTTCCATTCGAAGTCCTACACGGTGTCTCTACACTCGGCCCGAACTGTCCAGGGGAGGTATCAAACGGAGAACCTGAGAATAAGACAATTGGCTACTCTATTAAAATACTTTTACGTATTGGAAAAAAAAAAGATTAATGAAACACCTGCCAGTTATTTAAGATAACAAAAAAACGTAATATTAAGTAAACTATCTTTCTGACGAGGACACTATTTATCAGCCAGCTGTGAAGTTATTGACGATATAGGAATTAAAATGGTACGAATGAAATCAGAGAGGAACTGGCAACCATCAAAACACTTAAGAGATATTTGCGAGACTGAAGCCAGATATTTCTGTATATGGATTTGAAACATTTATCTGTAATCCGGATATAGCATATAAAAGGATAAGAAATTATGTAATTAACAAAACATTAAATTTAAAAACAGCTTACGTAGCTAAATCACGTGTAGGAGAGTTTTAAATAGGAATGTAATTACTGTAAGAAATTCAATTATTTTACAGTCTTTCGCAAATCTGTAAGACATTAGAATAATTATTACGGTCACAAAACATTAATAATGGTAGTTCTCTTAAATCAAAGTGTTTCATTTAATCTTATGTCCCCCTTTTCACATTTAGAAAGAACTACACGTTTTTACAGCGTTTTGAAGTGCACTTCTTTCACTATAACTGTAAAGGGGCATAATACGAATGTTTAAGTTGATACTTTTTTCAACAGTTTGTTATTTGAAATAGATTTATCAACAAGTTCAGGAACTATTGACCTTAAGAGTTAGTGCTAGAATCTTTTTCCAGCTAAAATATAATAAGGGGTTCGGTTTAATAGGATATTAACTAACCCGCAAGTGAAAGTTTGGGTGATAAACCTGATGACAGGGTGGGGGGGGGGGAGTTACCTTTTCTTTTTCTAAGGACAGAATAAGATGATTATATATCTAGAGCAAGTGTTCCCAAACTTGGGATTTTGGACCATCGGGGGGCCACAGGAAAATGCAAATATTTAAAATATACAGCACTGTTAAGGCACTCAGTATCTATAACTGGTGAAGTTATAGCGATATCATCCCCCATGAGTATTGTCACGTAAAGTTTAATAAATACATCTCTTAGCTTTTCTTTATTTTGATAATATGTATATCTACACAGAAAACGAAGTGATATTCAAAGTTAGCAAAGACTCTCGTCTGACAACGATGAAGGATATCGAAGCCTTGGAATAATATTAGTTGGTAAACAAGAAATCTGATAACAAGAACTTTTGATTTTCCCGTCTTTGACTTGTATTCCATTTTCTATTTTAACACGTACACGTTTGTACATCTTACCTTGTCGTTTTTTTCTTTCCCTTTCGCCTCGGACACTGATCGTGTAGGTCAGGAGAAGAAGAAAGAGGCTCCCAAATGTTATTTTCATTTCTATTTCCTGCAAAAATAGTTAACTGCTTCAACATGTGAGATACGATATGTACTTAAACATAATACAACTATTCAATTCAGTTTTTGCTTCAAATATGCTAAAAATAATATCCGATAGTACGTTAAGTACTGATTTGATTAACACTTGTTTACAAACTATCTTAACTCAGTACTAGTGCTGTGGAACACGGGCATTTTAAAGAAGTTGTGAATGGTACAAAACAATAGTTTGGGAACAAACATAATATTGTTGTAGCTGTCCAGCTGGTAATTTGTTTTAGATTGGTAGACATCTTAATAAACACACAGTGGAACTACTTAAAGATAAAGACATTTCTTCAAGGTATTAAAATGAAGCAATGGCGAAGTGGCTTAAATTCTTTGTTCAAGGACTAGTCTAATTTTTTCTTCAATGTATAAATTTTGTTAACAGCATAATTTTTAACAAACATCCATCGCATACAAAAACTGTACGTATTTTTAAAGACATTTTTTAGCATTTCGAGGTACATTTGGCAATTAAATACCACAACAACAGGAGATTGTTAAGAAATGTGAACAAGACACACTCGATCAAAAAGAAAACCGGGTTCAGCTGTTTCACCGAGAAAGAAATAAAATTTCCAAATAGGAAAGAGCGAAAAAGCAAATATGTATTGATAATTTATAGCAAACTTTTGCGCATGTTTGTGACAGCAGTTGCTCTTGGCCGGGTTTAATCAGTAGCGCATGTTCACAGTATAAAACAGACGTTGTGAACAAATTTGTTTGTTGAATTTCACGCCAAGCTACTCGAGGCTATTTGCGCTAGCGTTCCATAATTTATAAGAGATATAGTTGAGGGAAGGCAGCTAGTCAACACCATCTACCGCCAATTCGTGGATTACTCAATAGAATGAGGTAATTAGTCATAAAGGCTGAAAAAACGAGCATGTTTCGTGATGTGATTCGAATCTACGAGTCACAGATTGCTATTGAGCACCCTAACCGTCAGGATATGCCAGGCCATGAGAACAAGCAACTAACGTATTATCTAATAGTTTGGTCACCTACATTTGTAGATATGTTCAGTCTATAGTTTTAAAAAATTGTATCGACATCGGTTTCCTAACCAATTTATATTTGAACTGTTATCTCTCGTGAACGAAATCCATTGTAGTTTAAGTCAGTTTGCTAGATGTTTTCGAATCAATTTTAAAACACAAACGGACGTCTCGTGGACCCAGAATGCATTTCACGCGAAGGCTTTATCACAATCTTCGAAATCTGAGGAATTGTCGATCCATAGTTTACTAGTAAACACAGTAAATATTCATGCCATCAGAAGCTTCATGCTTAGCGTAAGACGATCCATGGTTTACTAGTAAACACAGTAAATATTCATGCCATCACAAGCTTCATGCTTAGCGTAAGACGATCCATAGTTTATTAGTAAACACAGTAAATATTCATGACATCACAAGCTTCGTGCTTAGCGTAAGACGATGCATAGTTTATTAGTAAACACAGTAAATATTCATGACATCACAAGCTTCGTGCTTAGCGTAAGACGATGCATAGTTTATTAGTAAACACAGTAAATATTCATGACATGACAAGTTTCATGCTTAGCGTAAGACGATCCATAGTTTACTAGTAAACACAGTAAATATTCATGCCATCACAAGCTTCATGCTTAGCGTAAGACGATCCATAGTTTACTAGTAAACACAATAAATATTCATGCCATCACAAGCTTCGTGCTTAGCGTAAGACGATCCATAGTTTACTAGTAAACACAGTAAATATTCATGCCATTACAAGCTTCGTGCTTAGCGTAAGACGATCCATGATTTACTAATAAAAACAGTAAATATTCATGTCATTACAAGCTCCATGCTTAGCGTAAGACGATCCATAGTTTACTAGTAAACACAGTAATTATTCATACCATTACAAGCTTCATGTTTAACGTAAGAGTTAAAGATTCTCCTACAATGAAATTGATTATGTTCTTTTCTAATCTTTTCTTAATTTCAAAATTATTTTTGACGCCACTATTTATATTTCTGTATTTTCTATTTCAATATAAAACTGGTTTATACTGTCGACAGGCACATTCACTGGAACTGATTTCGTGCTCGTTTAAAATAAACAAATTAGTTGTCCTGTAATCCAAAGACAGCTTGTACACCTGCACTAGTCGTGACTATTATAGACCGTCTGAGCTCACACCAGATTACATTCTGTTGGAGCAAAGAGTAGATTACCGTGACAAAATACATTATAGAAATTATAAGAGGGTTAAGTATAACGTATTCATACTACAGTTTCACAAGCAGTGACTTGTGAAAATTACCGACTACAAATACACCATCGTTTATTGGTCCTACACATACCAGTCTTTCTTACTACTTGCTCTTAAAGAAGAAAGATCCACCTTTCGAAGTGCTGGGTTGGTTTCATATTTTTTTTTTTTTTATCTTTCTCCCTTAATATACCAGTGACGAGCCCGAAAAAATAACATTAGTAATAATAAAAAATTAAAGAAACTGGCATTTTCAAAAAGGCAAAACATAGTTGAATGGAATTTTCACGCAAGAATACTAATAATAATAAACATTCCAGCTTACATTACTACTTGTATTATTTCTTTCATGCCATTTTCCGCGTTTCACATACTTAGAAAATACATTTTATTGTATCCCATAATATGCTAGTGTATGTGAAATTTACGACTAGGCCTGACGAAGAATATTTGAAATGTTTCAATGAACTATCAATACTTGAGGTCTTAAGCATGGTTTTTAGGCTTATATTGGAACTACTCAACCAGCGAGTACTTAAAAATAAGCAGCAAAAAAAGGTTTAAAAAATTGCGAATAAGAATTTTTAACCATCAAAATAAAAATTTTCATAACTAACTTTGATACATGGAGCGCGCGCGCGCACAGAATAAGATACATGATTATGTACGCACTTTATAAAACTATGTTTCTTGATGAATATAAACAAAGCCTTCTGCAAATTAAAACAACAGCATTAGATTAAAAGGAAAAAACAAATATTTCAGTGTTAAATTATGATAACTATTTCTTAAGGAAACAATACATAATACAATATTCGGTAACAACAACAAAAATGTCACAAAATCCTTCATATAGATTACTCACCGAGATTACTTGGCTCTGCGCCAAATTAAGTATTCTTCCAGCCTGAAGGCTTGAATTACCAGAAGGTTGTTAGAGCTATTCGGGTTAAAGAGAAAACCGGATTACCATCTAGTTTCATTGTCACTTTAAAAAGCACTAATGTTAAGGTTGTTAAACTTTTCGCTAGTTGTGAAAATAAGACTTATTTACTTATAATTCTTAATAGTATATACATATATACATATTGGTGTACTTTGGTGACAGGTTTTCTTGTAGGCAGATTTTGTTAAACAAGACAGATGTCTGTAGGTTTACTTTCTTCTTAGAATTCTTCTCAAGAAGTCGATAAGCCGTCTTAACGTTGTTAGAACAACGGGTAAAAGTTGTAGCTAGTGATGAGTTGGCCGACGCGTTTCGAATGCGTTCTGCATCCATTATCAAGGCTGAATGTGGTGTGAATTGTGATTACTGTTGGC